TACGCTAGCGATGCGTTTCGATAAATTTTCCGATGCGTGTTGGAAAAGTATACATCGTTAACATTTTGTAGTTCGGCGTTATGGAACATTAAACTTTGTACGTATGCAATGCAATTGACGTTTTGGAAGCCAGCCAAACACTTGATTCGCCGTTGTAGCTCTAAGCAGCAATGTGGTGTGGATGGTTGTGAGCGAGCACATAATCCACTTTTACATTTATCACATTACAAACGCTCTGTTACGTTTACAAAAAAAGAAACTCATGTTGGGGCCGTACAAAATCGTATTCTGTTCCATTCGAAAGAAAAGAGGAGTGCTGTATTTCGCACTCAGAACTAAGTCCGTACCCCATGCAGTGCAAGGAAAATGCAACGCTGTATCTACTAAGTACGGAGTTACACATAACCCTGGCTTCTGACAGCATATATTTCTTATTCTCTCTCTCGTTTTTTCTCTTAAAATATAATAAATAAAAATAAAGTTTAAATTTAATTTTTCATAAAAATACGTCTGTTTGATTTATCATAATCGCCCCGACGACTCTTAAAGCACAATGCCTAACGAAGAAGGGTCAAAGGATTCCGTGATGCAAGCCGCTGTGCAGCAACCTGTTGAAGATCCACGTGCAAGCGAAGGCGTTACCGAAATCGCAAAGGTGACCGTGAAAATTCCACCAATTTGGCATGCAAAACCTGAGCTGTATATTGCGCAGGTAGAGTCGCAATTTATTGCCGCTGGCATTTCGAGCGACAGGTCTAAGTACCACACCGTAGTAGCCGCCATCGAAAGCAGCGTCCTCGCACAAATTAGCGACATTATACTTAATCCGCCAGTTGAGGACTTGTATAGAACCCTAAAGATGCGCTTGTTAGAGCAGTTTGCCGATTCCGAGCAAAAAAGAATCAAAAAACTACTGCAGGATTTAGAGCTTGGAGACATGCGCCCATAACACCTGCTGCGCGAAATGCGCCATCTGGCTGGTAGCGAAATGAACGACGGTATGCTCAAATCTATTTGGCTTAACAGATTGCCGCAAAATATTCGCTCTATCATATCGATTAGCACCGAGCCTTTAGACAAAGTCGCATTACTTTTACGACAAAATAGTTGAGGCTAGCGGCGGCCCGCATGTGCACTCTGTTTCTGCACATGGCGATCAAACTTCTCTGGCGCAACAAATATGTGCTTTGACGAAAGAGGTTGCAGAGTTAAAATCAAAGTTAGAGCAACGAGGTAGAGAGAGGCGACGATCCGATTCGCGAAGACTCGCGCGCACACCAAGCAGTGGCGCGGACATTTGCTGGTACCACAGGAGATTCGTAGAAAAAGCAACAAAGTGCCGAAAGCCAGGATCTAAAGCTTTAAACTAAGAGCCCTGTCACCAAAGACGGTACGTGACAGGCCTCCCGCGACCAACCGTCGACTTCTCATCGTGGATCGAAACAGCAACCTACAATTTTTAGTGGATACTGGCGCAGAAGTTAGCGTCATTCCACCTATGCCAGCACAACGACGACAGCCAGATGCAGATTTACAGCTATACGCTGCCAACAAGCCAACTATAAAAACGTACGGCGAGAAATCCCTCTGCCTCAACATCGGTCTTCGCCGAAAACTGGAACTTTATTGTTGCGGACGTTTCGCAACCTATGCTAGGGGCCGATTTCCTGGCGCACATCAAGGTTCTGGTCGACCTGCATCAACGCAAGCTGGTGGATAGTTTGAAAAATGCTTCGCAATGCTGCGCTATCAAAAAAGTCAACGGTGACGTAGGTAAATTGTCATTTATTAATCGTGATATGCCTTTTCAGGATTTGCTCTGGGAATTTAAAGACATAACACAGCAAAACCAGGGTCGGAGAAATGTCGCCCATGGTGTCACGCATCACATCATCACGAAGGGTCCTCCCGTTTTTTCGAAGCCGGGGCGCTTGGCGCCAGACAAACTGAAAGTCGCAAAAGCTGAAATTCAGTCGCTTCTCGACGCAGGAATTTGTCGCCCCTCACGAAGTCCGTGGGCGTCCCCTCTTCACATGGTGCGGAAAAAAACGTCGAGTGGAGACCCTGTGGGGATTTCAGGCGGTTAAACAGCGTAACCGAATCCGACCGCTATCCGATCCCCCATCTCCACGATTTTACACACGCACTGCACGGTTGCAAAATTTTTTCCACGATCGACTTGCGCCGTGCATATCATCAACTTTCAGTGGAAACCGCTGATGTACCGAAAACCGCTATGACGACTCCATTCGGAATGTTCGAGTTCGTTTACATGTGCTTACACAACGCCGGCCAAACGTTTCAACGTTTTATGGACGACATTCTGCGCGATTTCGATTTTGCGTGTCCTTATCTTGACGATATTTTGGTTTCCTCGAGAGATACGGACGAGTATAGACGACACTTGCGCACGGTTTTCCAAAAATTGCGCGAATTTGGCATCGTAATAAACCTCTCTAAATGCGTCTTCGGAAAGCCGGAAGTGACATTCCTTGGATACGTGGTCACTCCGGACGGTCTAAAATCACCAGCAAACAAGGTGAAGGTCATTAAAGAAATGAAAGCACCAGAACGAGTGTGCGACCTTAGACGTTTTTTGGGTATGTTGAATTTTTTCCGTCGGTTTCTACCAAAAGCAGCGGAGAGCCAAAGCGTTTTGACTAGCCTCATTAAAGGGAATAAAAAACGCGACACCTCAAAAATAGAATGGAATGCGAAAGCCAACGAAGCTTTTCAGCGTTGCAAAGCAGAGCTAGCCGCAGCCACCCTTTTAGTATTTCCTAAGCCTGGCGCACCCTTAGCACTCACCGTCGATGCTTCCGGAACGGCACTCGGGGCCGTGCTACAGCAACTTGACGGCAACCAATGGCAACCTCTCAGTTTCTACTCGGAACGACTCAATGCCGCACAACAGCGCTACAGCACGTACGACCGCGAGCTTTTAGGTGCGTATAAAGCGGTAAAGTACTTCCAAGATATGGTCGAGGGACAAAAATTTTCCATATACACGGACCATAAGCGGCTCCAATTCGCTTTTCACCAAAAAATGGAGAAAGCTTCGCCTAAGCAAATAAGGCATCTTAATTTTTTGAGCCAATTCACTTCCGATATCCGCTACCTTCCCGGCAAGGACAATGTCATAGCAGACGCACTGTCGCGCGTCGAAGCGATTCACGTTCCGCAAACAATTAACTACGCGAGTTTGGCTGAAAGTCACATTACAGACGACGAGCTTCAGCGGGTAAACAGCAATAATTGCAGCTTAGATTTAAAAGCGTTCGTCGTGCCAGGTACGGAGGCTAAAATATATTGTGACGTAAGTACTGGTAACGCACGTCCTTACCTCACAGAGCCTTTTCGTAAAATCGGATTTGAATCAATCCACAACATCTGTCACAGCGGTGCGGCCAAAACCATAAAGCTGGTAGCAGAAAAATTTGTGTGGCCAAATATGAGAAAAGACTGTCGTGGGTGGACCAACAGGTGTCTGTCCTGCCAAAAAGCTAAAATTCAACGCCACAACAAATCGCCGATATCTACATACCAGCTGGCGGATAAGCGGTTCGAGCACGTCAACATGGACATAGTAGGCCCCTTGCCGCCATGTCAAAGTTATCGGTACTGCCTCATTTGCATTGACCGTTACACGCGATGGGTAGAAGCATACCCTCTCGAAAATGTTACCGCAGAGTCAGTCGCCTACGCTTTTTACTCGAAATAGATATGCAGATTTGGCATACCATTGAGAGTCACCACCGATCAAGGGTGCCAATTCGAATCGTCGCTTTTTCGTGATCTCAACCGACTTCTGGGTATTCAGCACCTCAAAACAACGGCGTACCACCCCGCCGCAAACGGTATTATAGAGCGCTGCCACGGAACGCTGAAAACTGCGATTAAGTGTTACCAAACAGAAAAATGGGTCGAAGTATTGCCATTAATTCTTCTGGGCTACCGCTCGTCTTACAAAGAAGACATAAAGTCAACGCCAGCAGAACTAGTCTACGGTGGGACACTTCGATTGCCCGGTGAATTTCTCCACCACACGTCTAACGCCAACGCTACTCTCGCAGAAGCCGATTTTGTAAATGACCTGCGAGCAAGAATGCGCAAGCTAACGCCGACTCACACCGCCAACCACTCGAAGCCATCCACTTTTATCGAGACTCGATTGGCAACGACGCCCTACGTGTTCGTTAGAACAGACAGCGTACGCCGACCACTCCAGGCCCCTTACGAAGGGCCATATCCCGTTCTAAAAAGATGTGAAAAATATTACAAAGTCGACATTCGCGGGAAGCAGGTGAACGTTAGTATCGACCGTTTAGAGGCTGCGTACGTCGTTAACGAAGACCAAGAAAGCACTCCATCGCATACCAAGCAGCCGGAATACCACACGCGTTCAGGCCGTAAAATTCGCTTTCGTTTTCAACAGGAGGGGGAGTAATGTGGCACTCAGAACTAAGTCCGTACCCCATGCAGTGCAAGGAAAATGCAACGCTGTATCTACTAAGTACGGAGTAGCACATAACCCTGGCTTCTGACAGCAGAGATTTCTTATGCTCTCTCTCGTTTTTTCTCTTGACACAGAAACATAGTGTGCTACAATTAATAATAATAATAATAATAATAGATTGGCGCTTACACATATGTTAGTGTTTGGCCGAGCTGCTCCTCCGGTTTGTGGCGTGCGCCTTGATGTTGTCACACAAAGCGGAGGGACCTACAGTTTTACGCCGACTCCGAACGGCGATTGTATTTTTATGAGAAGCTGTTTTTCATGGCAGAATTACACTCGGAGGTTTGCCATTGCCTGCCGAAGGACGACCGCTGTTAAGAAAAAACCTTTTTTCTATATTTTTTGCGATGTTGCTTTGACCAGGGTTTGAACCCAGGTGCTGCGGAGTGGAAGCGCGCTACAATTATTATTCATTTAAATAAAGTTTAAATTTAATTTTTAGTTATAAAAATACTTGTGTTTGATTTATCATAATCGCCGCAGGTGTAACGCTTCATGCATATGGTAAGTCTGTCAACACATGGGCTTTTATTGATGAAGGTTCAGCTTGTACACTTATGCAGCAAGACTTAGCAAAAGAGCTAGGTATTGCCGGTCCAAGGGAGGAACTGTGTTTACAATGGACAGATGATATTAAACAAAATGAAACGAATTCTCAATCTGTTGCCCTGTACATTTCCGCACAGCTACCTAACGCAAGGAAATTGTATATGAAAAATGTGCATACCATAACTGCACTTAAGCTTCCTGTACCATCATTAGACTTAGCTACCATATCTGCTCGAGGACATCTAAAAGATCTACCAATTGCTCCATATACTGCGGAACGAGCACGGATTCTTATTAGCTTGGACAATTTAAAGCTTATTATTCCCTCAGAAACTAGACAAAGGGAAGGTGATGAACGCGTTGCAGCCCGATGTAAAATTGTTTGGTCTGTGTATGTATAAAGGTTCACACCAACAAGTAAAGGGACACTCAAACAGACGCGGTATTGGAAGTGCGGTACAAGGCGGTACATAACTATACTATGTACCGCCTTGTACCGCACTTCCAATACCGCGTCTGTTTGAGTGTCCCTTTTTGCACCTTTGCACTTGTAATGGTGATAAGCGCTTGGAAGCACTGGTAAAATTCCACTATTCATTAGAGTCTGCTGGTATTCGAGAAACTGCACCACTGGTTTCAAAGGAAGACGATCGCTCGCAGCGCATAATGTCGGCTACAACAAAATACCTTCCTCTGGAGAAACGATGGGAAACTGGACTTCTGTGGAAGCACGATGAAGAAGAGGTACCTGATTCCCTGGCACGTCGGCGTTTACAATGCCTTGAGGCTAAAATGTCTCGTAATTCCGACTTAAAAGAATTTATGATTAACACCATCCACGATAATGAGCACAAGGGGTATGTAAGAAGATTGAAGGGAAATGAAATTTCCATGGGTGGCAAAGCCTGTGGTGCGATTCAGTACGCGATTTTAACAACCCTTGTTATTGTTAAGTCAGCTAAACGACAATTTTAACAACTTAGCTATTCAGCAAACGTTTCCCTAACAACATTCGTTAGCGCGAAATCAGCTGTTGTCGTTAACGATAACAAAGGCCGCTAATTTGACGACGTCTATATTGGTGTTGTTAATGAAACCTAAAAGGTACGTTCTACAATTTTTTCGTATGAAAATAAATGCACAGCACCGCTAGGAAAAAAAAATATCAAAAATGAAAGGATTTTTCAGCAACTTCAAACTTGCACTTTATTGTACTAAAACTAAATAGGCTACAAAACCGCATACATAATTTTTTTATTATGCTCATTAAAAACTTGAAGTTTTATGAAAGTTTGTTGAATTTGGTTTAAATATTGCAGAATACACTATTAAAAACAAGTAATATAAATTAAATAACAAAAAAAAAATAGTTTGTAAAACTTGTCAATATGTGTTGCGGTTATACTTTTCCAATAGAGCGTAAAACAAATGTAGAAAACTGGAAGTTAAAAGGTGATAAGTCTATATTGAATTTAAAGGAATTGAATAATTAAAGTTTTCAATTTAATACTTCTACATTGTTTAATATTAGATACATTGTATCGCACATGCATATCTATGTAGTA